AAAACTCAGAGGCACTGTATTAACCCGGAACAAATTTTAGATAGGGATTTCAATCGTATGAAACACTTGCTGATTAGCTGCTTTAGTTGTGTGACTCCTTAAAGGAAGACTTAACATTGTTAACGTGTTGAAATAAAGTAAGTTTTTGAAAGTATATACATTACCGAGTAAAAGGGTGAAGTTTGGTGGAAATAAAGTAATAAGTTATGAAGAAAACAAAGTTATAGCCCCTGATGTACATGTGCTGTTCAGAGACAGCACCAAACAATTCTCATTTCACTTAACATCAACCTCTAGCACAATTTAGCACACACTCAGCAATTTCATATTTTGCACACACATTTATTACCAATACCACTCACATATTTTTGAAAAGAAATCTTGGTAATTCTGTTTCTGTAATTTTTACAAAACTTAAGTAATTAAATAATTTATTTTAGTAAATTTGATAAAATTTTGACAATTCAGCACAGTTAGAATTCAAACCCAACATGAGTCATACAAGGTTATCAGTATCCATCTTAACTGATCGGCTATCAATTATACAGACTTACATATACTTACATATACCTATAGTACTTCTGGCTCCCTGGGGTGCCGGCACTTTATGTAATGTAATGCTATACACAGCCAATTGTCTGAGTAAACACACAACAGAAACGCATTAAATCAATAAACAAGATATTGGTCACACGGTATATATTGTAACGGGAATAAAAAGACATCTACAATTCACTAAAAAAATGGAATTTAAGTTGGATTTAGTCAAAAAACATATATGTGACACATACACATACCGATACTCACATGTGCAACTTTGTAATAGCTTGTTATGTGGTGCCGATGGGCTACTTGCTGTTCATAGTCTTGTTGTGCACGGTATAACAATTATGAAAAGACAACCAATATGTGACAAAAATACAAATGTCATGCAGAAGCCAGCTAACAACCCTCTTTTCGATAAGCCTTATTGTCATGCATGCGATCAACCATTTACAGCTTTATGATTGAATACGCTGAAATCAAACAAATATGTGAAAGATTTCATGATGTACCGTCTATAAACAAAATATTCGATACAGTGTCTGTGCAATTAATATATTACTATTTATACTGTATTGATCTTTACAATAAAATATGATATATTGTGCAGCCAATTTGTTCGATATTGATGTATTTCTTGAATCCTTCACATATTTAAAGCTATTAAGTTTTGGCTTGATGTGTTTATTTTCGTGAATGTCTCTTTTTACAGTAGTGTTGGCCCTAAATGACATGGGCCGTTAAACAATACAAAAACAAAAACAAACAAAACAATCTTTCCGATACTAAATGTGATCTGCACATCTAGTATTTCTGTTGAATATCACACGCGCGTTAATCGATCCTCGAGGCACAATGTTAATACAACGGACACTTTGTGATACAAATAACAAGCAATGTTACCAGTGAAATGCATTGTTTCACCGCTGACTCCCGTATCATGTGATAGTAAGCTAACTATACTTTCGCACGAGCGACATTTTAACAAACTGCCGAGTCTGCTCGTCTCGTGCGCCTGTAGTTAATTTATCTGCAATGTGTCCGTCCTGTTTCCTAAATGTCATTCCGTATTTTACATATAACCTTTCGATAAGAAATCGTACATGTACGTACATTACGACACCAAAACGGCTAAGGACGGGGTGCTGTGTTTGCCGTTTTACATTTTTATTCAGATGCTTATCGTATCACCACGCGCCAGTATTAAGTGAGCGTGACGTCATATCTCACCTACATGTCTTTATTGAATTCTAACGTATTTTGTCCTAATTGTTATGACGTCGGGTGTATTTCTACAGATTGTCGACCGTTTTGTGCATGTCTGTTCCGATACGGTCACACCAAACACCAATTTCACATAGAAGTGACGTCATACCACTAACCACTTCTGGCTATATTTTAGGTATGGTCGCTTGTAATACATATTGAATGGATATGATGACACACTCATCTTGCAGGTCTGGCCAGGGCTGCGATGGCGCTCGATTGCTTTACGAATCCCGACATGTAATTGAGTGGTCTGTACTGTTAAGTATAAATACGAGATGGTTTTGGAGTTGTCTTTGTCGGGATTAGGATTACGTCGACCGACCATTTATCGATGACGATATTGACTTTTTTTGTTAAGACAAGATGTTTGATTACCCTGGGACTCCGATTGATGTTTACCCTACCAAAGCCGTCGACAATCCCTAAATATTTCAATGATACTCGAACTTCAATCATATTTGTAAAAACAGATGATAAAAAATATAAACCAATTATTGCGATTGTTTCTCGAATAAACGTCATTCAAGTCGAAATATCGGTAATTATGTTTGGGATTCACTGTCAAGTTAAAGATATAATATATTTTTGTTGTCTGGGACTTCAAACTTAATCAACATCGGGCTTAACGATTCCACCTGTATTCCTGATTGACGTGTGTGGGACATGAAGAGTCTTTTTGATGAAGGTGTGTTGAGCCCGAAGGTGTTTTATTTATGTGTGTTGGACCTGAAGATTATTCTTAAATATAGGTGTGTGTGACCCAAAGGTTTGTTATTATTTAGGTGTGTGTGACCTAAAAGTTTGTTTTTATTTAGGTGTGTGGCACCCAAAGATGTTTTAATTAATGTGTGTGGCACTTAAATGTTTTATTTTATTTAGGTGTGTGGGACCTAAATGTTTGTTTTTATTTAGGTGTGTGGGACCTAAATGTTTGTTTTTATGTTTGTTTTTATTTAGGTGTGTGGCATCTAAAGATTTGAGTGGATTTTGTGGGGCCACACGATTGTTTCTAAATTAGATGAGGGGGACTTTATAATTGTTCCTGATTTCACTGATGGGGACGAATCCCGACAAATCGTTGAATGATTGACTGATTATTAACGCATATTGTTGCTAACTTAGATAGGTTTGACATCTGAAAAAGAAAATCTTTCCCTCAGGTCTCGCGAGGGATTCCGTGACTCAATGCCACATTAATACTCCATACAATGCACAGTCAGTGGAGTTTACCATGATGTAACACACGAACACAAAACAGGAATGTATGGGATCCTGAAATAGATGAAACAAGCCCTTTCTCTCTTTGCCGCTCTCGCTCTGTCTTTTCCTCTCCTTCACATTTACTGACAAATAACTCATTATTTTCTGAAATACTTTCACCTCAGACACAACGTTACATAGCAATTTACTTCTTATCCATACAGGTATGATACCAAACGTAAGAACATTTACGATGGTGTTGGCTGTTAACTAGCCGGGAGACTTGACGAGGACGATAATTGATTAGGAATTAAAAAGCCCAATCTGAAAACCAGCCGCGGGCTAATCTCATCTAGAGACAATTTCCCCTGCGATAATATAGCAAAAGACTATTAACTGGGTCGTTTTGGGCACAAATATGAAGTTCATGCAAGACAATAATGGAAGGCAGTTTAGTTCATGCGAGAGCTTAGAGGTAGTCTTATGTTATCTATGGTAGCCGAGTGGTAGCCTTCTATGGTAGCCCAGTGGTAGCATTCTATGGTAGCCCAGTGGTAGCCTTCTATGGTAGACCAGTGGTAGCATTCTATGGTAGCCCAGTGGAAGCCTTCTATGGTAGACCAGTGGTAGCATTCTATGGTAGACCAGTGGTAGCCTTCTATGTTAGACCAGTGGCAGCATTCTATGGTAGCCCAGTGGTAGCCTTCTATGGTAGACCAGTGGTAACATTCTATGTTAGACCAGAGGTAACATTCTATGGTAGACCAGTGGTAACATTCTATGGTAGCCCAGTGGTAGCCATTCTATGGTAGACCAGAGGTAACATTCTATGGTAGACCAGAGGTAACATTCTATGGTAGACCAGTGGTAGCATTCTATGGTAGCCCAGTGGTAGCCATTCTATGGTAGACCAGTGGTAACATTCTATGTTAGACCAGAGGTAACATTCTATGGTAGACCAGAGGTAACATTCTATGGTAGGCCAGAGGTAACATTCTATGGTAGACCAGTGGTAGCATTCGACGGTAGACTAATTGGACGTGATAGATGGTGGTACATTGTATTTTTTGTGTTATATGTGAATATTTATCGGCTGGTTATGCAGTCAATGTCGTGCTGTGTAGTCCATGCATGAACATGAGGATTGCGTGTGTGGTTGATCACGATGTAAACAGTTTAAGTGTGATTTTGAGCAATACTATTTTCACCATCGTGAAATAAAAATATGATATCTTTGCATAATATAACTGTGTTTCTCGTGTTCCTCCCACACTTCACAGGTTCGCTTCTTGCACTCGATAAACTAGCGTTTTTTTTCTACCTTAGGAAAGATAGATTACAAGTACTCTTATTCTAAAAACGTCACGATCGCGTCATCACTTAATGCAGTATAACAAGGGTAGCGTCATCAATTATGTCCAATATTTCATGGGCTATTCGTCTATACCGACATATATTTACGGCAGGAAAGTGAGGGAGAAAAAAACCTCGGGTAAGAATAGACAGCTATACCACAACCCTCGGGTAAGATGTTTGAAGTTTAGCACGAGAACGTCTCGAGGGTTGACATTTCTCTGTTTACATCATACATGAGTGACAGGTTCTATTAATAAGTTCGCGATGTGTTTATTTATCCGGCGTTGTGTATTATTTACATTTGCATATACATTTTCACAATCTTGCGAATAAGTCGATTTTTTGTTTCCTTGAAATTTGCTCAATCTATAGTGCCATGTTCACAAGTTAAACATTTTTTTATCTACCAATGTTTCGAATTATTTCGAAATAATAATTTACAGTATTTAACAGATATTGTGAATGTACAGTATAAAGTACTTGTTTTATCTACCAATGTCTCGAATTCAGAATTCATTTGCAGTTTTACGGGTATTTTGAATGTACTTGTTTTTAAATGTTTCCTGTTATCGTTCCTCCGTATTAGAAATTCCGAGTCTTGAATTATCTTGAATCTCGTTGTGTGTTTTCAGGTGTGTGACCGTTGACTTGCTGGATAGACGGGTATGCCTAGCCGAGGACACCTCGACATGTTATGAGCTAGACAGATACGCCGGGATGCCGAGCACGCCTCGTTGTTTTATAAAATGCCCTGGCAAATGATACCAATACGCCTGACGTACACGCGAACAAGATGGCGTCGACTGCTCTTGTGTCTCATTGGCCTGACTGTTGTGCTGAGCATCGTAAACCTGTGGACGGACCTGAACATTAAGTGTACGGCCTGTAGGTCGGTACATCTCTTCCACAGACACTATGTTGAGCTGGACTTCGACTATCAGAAATACATCAACGCCACGTGGGAGGCACGAGGGAATAACGACAGTCTTCTGACACTGTTTACCACGTGGAACCCTTCCATGCAGAAGCCGGTAGTGTACCACAACGCCCTTAGGAACTGGGCGTCTCTAAGTCGCAGCGTCACGACACTGGTGTATTCCAACGACACGGAAGTGGAGAATATCGCTAAACAACACAATTGGCAGGTGAAAAAAATAGATCGTACTGCGTGTTTCGGAACGCCAGTTCTTAGGACCATGTTTCAGGAGGTTATAGGGGGAGCGAGGAGTAAGTTTTATGGTTACGCTAACGCAGATTTGGTATTCAATGATGGCTTAGTGAAAACACTAGAAGCTGTAGCGGAAAATCCAGAGTTCTCTAAAGGGCCGTTACTGATTGTAGGAAAACGAGTGGATGTAAATATATCTAAGCTACAGGAACCGGTAATCAACGGTACTAAAGACGTGGAGAAACTAGCTCCACACGGCAAACTCTCGTGGGGATTTGCAGGGGATTACTATATAACGAACGAGCTGTTTCCATGGGAATTTGTGCCGGATCTTGTGATAGGACGCCCTCTGGTGGACAACTGGCTCATCTGGTATGCGCGTGAAGTCGGTGCAAAAGTTGTGGATGCTTCCGGTTCCATTCTAGCAGTTCATCAATTAGCTAACGGATTGAAGAGGATCAAATTTATGTGCAACAAGGCGGAAATGTGGAAAAAGAAGCTACTCCCCAACCTGCCTGTATGGAAAGGAATGATAGATTGTGCTGGGTACGAATCTAGAGTGGGCGATAGTGGAAAAGTATTTATTTTGCCAAAAATATTTTTACCGGAAATTTGTAATCATGATGAAGCTATTTTCCACTGACGAACGTAGACCTTAGGTACCGTAGTCAGCATGTTGTGTATTTTAGCCTAGAATACAGTGTGCTTTATCAAGATCTACAGTTTTACTCAAGCAGATATTGTAGGAATGCCTTAGATTTACAGTAATGGCGGTATATACGAAAAATGACGTATTTTGGACTACTCAATAAATCACAGACATGCTTTAACGTGCCACACCTGTTTAACCTAGCTTAACGATAAAGTAGAACTGCCACCGACATGTATAGGAAACACACATTTCCTTCGAGTGTAACTTACAAGTTTAAGTTTGATAGTCACTAACGAAATTATCTTTCGGTATGGTTTTACCATGTTTATTCGAGAACGACTCATAACAATACGTAAACGGGGTATGGCTGATCAGAGCAAGCATGGTGACTATTTATTGAGTAATCGTCAAATCGTGGAGTAGATTGTTACCTAAGCTTTATGAGATTATAAGGTGGAAACCAGACTTTAGTGTTTGGTAAAAAGGTGGTAACGAAGGCTATATTAAATGGTTACTAGGTGGTAACCAAGGATGTAGTGTGTGGTTACTAGGTGGTAACCAAGTCTGTAAGGTGTGTTTATAAGGTGGTAACGAGGGCTATAGGGTGTGGTTACTAGGTGCTAAACAATGCTGTAGTGTGTGGTAAATAGGTGGTAGTCACGGCTGTAGTGTGTGGTTACTAGGTGGTAACCAATGCTATAGTTAGTGGCTACTAGACAGTTACCAAGGTTATCGTGTGTGGTTACTAGGTGGTAACCAAGGCTATAGTATATGGCTTCTATGCAGTGACCAAGGCTATAGTCTGTGGCTTCTAGGCAGTAACCAAGGCTAAAGTGTATGGTTACTAGGTGGAAACCAAGGCAATAGTGTGTGGTTACTAGGTGGTAACCAAGACAATAGTGTGTGGTTACTAGGTGGTTACCAAGTAGTTTCCAATGCTATAGTATTTGTGGTTGCTAGGTGGATAACGATACTGTACAGTTAGGACTATAGATTGGCTATATAAGTTCTAATGTGTGGTTGCTAGGTAGTCGCGGGTGCTATGCATCGTACTTTAAGTTCCCTCTGTTAGTCAGGAATATTTTGCAATAGGTGATTTTTATTGCATGAATTTGCGAGGAGAGGTAATCGTATTGATAGTTAATATTTATTCCAATTTTTTCAACATGGTTTTGTTTATTTGCGAATCTGGATATCGCAAGAAAGAGTTTCAGTTCAATCGTTAAAAATCGGTATTCGCTAAAATTTAACGGTAAGCAGTAGGCAATATGCGCCAAGATTTACTTTTTTCCTGAATTTAACATTTTAGTTTCATACAAAAAATAGTGGATCAAGAAATCAGTTTGATTTCAAAGTGAAAAAATTAATATTAAGATATAGATATAGAAAACAGAAGGACCTATTCCTCCCCTTTGATGGTTTCCATCCCAACTGCATGTTTTGTCATTCCTCCGATTGGTTCCACCCATTCGACAATTGGTGCCATCCCAAAAGTGTGCTCAAATATCGCCTTCGTCAATCTTAAAGTTTGATCCTGTGTACGTGATAAACCACATTCAACCCCTTCGTAAATCTTACCGCTACCCTTTTACTGTAGTAACTCAACCATTCCTTGTTAGTGACCCGATTTTCTCAAACGACTCTCCCCTCCCCCTCTCATATCACCCTCAAGCGATCCTCCACACCCCTTCAATGATCCCCATTCCCATTGTTGTAATGATTCCCCGGGCCTCAACTCTAAACGTATCTCCCTTGGATGCCCCCAATACCTAAATGATCGCGACTTCTCTTTAAGAAACTTTCCTGTGTTCCCCAGTTTTGCTCCCTTTCCCCTGGGGCAGTACCGATCCTCTGAATCCCCGCCCCCTCCTCGAATATATCCCCACCTCTCACAACAACCGCCAATGTAAGATATCTGCAAACGCATATCCCGTTAAACCATTGCCTTACTAATTAAGCTGACTTTAATACTTTAGAGAAACAGAAGATTAGGTATTATATTTGGATACGTGTCTGTTGAGTGTGAGGTTAAATTGGGAGATGTTTGAGAAACCTCCATGTCTTTAAAATGCACATGGTAATATAATGTTATTGTTGTAATATGTATATTTAATTTTATTGTGTTTGCTTGCACGTTTCGTGCGGATTATTTATTGACATTGTGCTGTTCGTTAAGATGAGTTGAGATGGATTTCTATTTAACAATTACACCGTCTGTATTATAGCTGACTACCACATGTGTACAGTAACGTGTCGGGAGTATTTAGTTTACTGTAACAACTTGATAGCGTCGTGTAAACGAGTACATCATAGCGTGTTACTGAACACGAGTACATCATAGCGCGTTACTGAACACGAGATTGACAGTTTTTTTTTTTTTTTTTTGGGAATGAAAAAATTTTTTTTAAAAGTTTTTTTTTTTTGTTTTGGGAAATAAAAAATTTTTTTTAAAAGTTTTTTTTTTTTTTTTTTTTTTATTAGTTTGTGGAATGAACAATATCTTTCTAACAGTTTTTGTTTTTTGTTTTTTTTCAAATTATATACGATACCGAACGAATCAAAACTATTAACATAATTCATGTTTTTGTTCTGGCTGATAACTGACCTGATATATACAGAACTATTTTTTCATATTTAAAAAAAACTGTTGATAGAAGTTGTGTAAATATTTCTTAATATGTCGTTATTGTATACATCATCCAATCATTGTCCTGTCTTTGGTCATGTGATCGCTGTACCTAGTGATGCACGGTACAGATTTTTCAACATTCCAAGCTCAAAATTAGTTTCACTGTCATAGCCGGGTGTGACGGTTGCAAGGGTCGTAATAGCCGGATGTGAACGTTTTAGTCAAGATCACAGTAGCCGGATGTGAACGTTTTAGTCAAGATCACAGTAGCCGGAATTGACCGTTGTCATGGTCACAACATCTTTGACTTTAACCAGAGTCGTGAATGCCGTATACTGCTGCCGCCGGGGTCGCCTCTTCCTTCAATGTTGTCGTTGATTAGATATGTCTGATGATAGGAAGACAATTACGCATATGGCGCGTGTTCGTTTGTACACTTGCGAGCGTTGAAGGTCGATTGTGAGACATCGTGCCCCTTCATACACGCACAATGTACAATACCAATTCTCTATTACCGGGACCAGGAAAAGACGCTTGTTCTGTACAGTGTATAAGGCTAAGTCTCTATTACCGGGACCAGAATAAGACGCTTGTTCTGTTCAGTGTATAAGGCCAAGTCTCTGATACCGGGTCCAGGATAAGACACGTGTTCTGTACAATGTATACGGCTAAGTCTCTATTACCGGGACCAGGATAAGACGCTTTTTCTGTACAGTGTATAGGCCAAGTCTCTGATACCGGGTCCAGGATAAGACGCTTTTTCTGTACAATGTATAAGGCCAAGTCTCTATTACCGGGACCAGGATAAGACGCTTTTTCTGTACAGTGTATAGGCCAAGTCTCTGATACCGGGACCAGGATAAGACGCTTGTTCTGTACAGTGTGTAAGGCTAACTCTCTTTTACCGGGACCAGGATAAGACGCTTGTTCTGTACATTGTGTAAGGCCAAGTCTCTATTACCGGGACCAGGATAAGACGCTTTTTCTGTACAATGTATAAGGCCAAGTCTCTATTACCGGGACCAGGATAAGACGCTTGTTCTGTACAATGCATACGGCCAAGTCTCTATTACCGGGACCAGGATAAGACGCTTGTTCTGTACATTGTGTAAGGCCAAGTCTCTATTACCGGGACCAGGATAAGACGCTTGTTCTGTACAATGCATACGGCCAAGTCTCTATTACCGGGACCAGGATAAGACGCTTGTTCTGTACAATGCATACGGCCAAGTCTCTATTACCGGGACCAGGATAAGACGCTTGTTCTGTACAGTGTGTAAGGCTAACTCTCTTTTACCGGGACCAGGATAAGACGCTTGTTCTGTACAATGTATAGACCAAGTCTCTGATACCGGGACCAGGGTAAGACGCTTGTTCTGTACAGCGTGTAAGGCTAAGTCTCTATTACCGGGACCAGGATAAGACGCTTTTTCTGTACAGTGTATAGGCCAAGTCTCTGATACCGGGTCCAGGATAAGACACGTGTTCTGTACAATGTATACGGCTAAGTCTCTATTACCGGGACCAGGATAAGACGCTTGTTCTGTACAATGCATACGGCCAAGTCTCTATTACCGGGACCAGGATAAGACGCTTTTTCTGTACAATGTATAAGGCCAAGTCTCTATTACCGGGACCAGGATAAGACGCTTGTTCTGTACAGTGTGTAAGGCTAAGTCTCTTTTACCGGGACCAGGATACGCCGCTTGTTCTGTACAGTGTGTAAGGCTAAGTCTCTATTACCGGGACCAGGATAAGACGCTTGTTCCGATAACTCTGGTTACGAAATTAAGACCGGATGGACGACATCATAAAGGGCTTTATACTAATGGGCTAAAACCAAAATGAATCAGTCTTGTAACTACAGGCATGTGGTAGTTTTTTTTTTCCAATTTCATCTCGAAAATGTTCATCTTCAAATACTGCTCTTCTGATAAACGTTAAACATGTTTTGTGAACGTTTATACAATAGTTGGAATGTTTTCCCTTTATATTTCATACACTCAATTAACTAATGTTAAATAGTAGGACGGTACGCGCGATGTTGGTGACACTTTGTGTAACGTAAAATGACGTCATAATCATAATCTGCATTATTGTGTACGTTTTGACTGTGTTTCCAGTTTGATTATTTAACTTGAATAAACACAGAAATAATTGACCAGCGATACTTTTAGCGGGCACCATGCGTGTTTTGAAGCGATGTCACCAACATCGCGCGTACGGTCATATTTCTATTCGGACACCCACGTGTACATTTGAAATATTTTCCTATTTCGTAGACACAAACTCCAATGGCCTTTACATGAACATGAATATAGTTCTATAAATTGTTATTTTTCTATTCTGTGCAGTAGCTTCTACTTCATTTCACATCTTCACATGATATAATGAAATAAGTTTTAAAAGGTTCAAAAGGTTCAAAAGGAGAAAGCTCTCTAGTGACTGTGGTACAAATGCTCTAAGTGGATGTTTATTTTGAAAAGGGATTGTATCGTGTAAATATGTTGCAGGGATTATGTTCACTGGTGAAAAATATCTTACCTTGCACCGGTTGACCTCAATGTCTCCCAGGGTTCCTTGCGGTGTTATGGAAGTAATTGTGCGTAATGAACTTTAGGGGAAATTTTGCAGCTCGACCTGTTAAGAATACAATTGTTGTAATCATTTTGAGTAATAATAATAATACAGCAAGTATTTAAAGAATGATAATTCCTTTTTGTTCTATTACGAACAAGCATGTCGTTAGCTAGCACAGTCATGATTCTCGTCCAGAAGGAGAAGGGGAGGTAACTACGATTACTTTTTTAGCCTCGTTGTTTTTCCTCGAACAAAAACTAGTATTCGTTATTACCATTAATTTGTTGAATATGTTTTATATTATTTGCTGACTATGACGTAACTTCCCACAATCAAACTGTTGGGTAATACACATGATGGAAATTGAAGCAAGTTTCGTGTTATAGCAGTAGTGTGTACGACCCGGTCGGGGAGAAAATATTCCATGTAATTTATATCCATTATGTTTATATTGTTTGAATGATAAATGCAATGACGGCGCCCCTTTCATAGGAAAGCCCGAG